CGACGCTCTTCCGTTGAGAGACAGTATCGCCAGACGATCAGCTGGCATCGGTGTAGCTGCGGTTCCGTAGCTCTTTGGTGCGACCTACAATCGAATCCCGCGACACCGATGCCAGCTGAATGTGAGTATCGTAGTGCTGTAAACTTGACACGTTTTTGTGACCAGTTATATTTATGATTGGTTGTGGTGGAATGTCGGCTTTCGTCAGGGTAATAATGAGTCCAACTGGTGTTTTCGATATATTTTCCATCCACAGAATAATATCGTCAGCCATTATCGAAGCACAGACGCAAATTACGCGCGTTGTTTATAAACAGAAAGTAGTTCCAGGAAATAGACGCGTTTACCAAATATGGTAAACGGGGCCCGGGCGTGATATGGAAAATTATAGCACGGCTCGCGCATCGGGATTCCCATTGCGTTACGAGGCCGGGCAATACGAGGTATATGATAATATCAATAAAAGACCCCAAACACAACAAGGAGTCTACAAATGCATAAAATTCATGAAACAAAAAAAAAAACTATTTTTTATGCGTATTGGCACACTACCGCGAAGGTGAAGCTATTCGATCTGTTTGTTTCCCGAGGCTCTTCTAACATTCTAAGAAAGAACATTTCAAATCTGCCAATAGAGGGCGGCAGCCACAATAACATTCACACTTCGTACACACCCAACAACAGATAAACTAGTTATACTGGTAAAGTAACGCCCGCTCTGATAATGCCTTGGATCCATGGCTATCACAGAAACGGCAACAGTATAGTATCCCAGCAGTAAATGAGTTATGAGTTACAGTTACAGTTCCACTCAGTTTACAGATTATGAGCCACCTGTTGCATATAATGAGAGAAGTACAAGTAAGAACAAGTGATCATTTGTCATGTACTTCACTCAGGATTTCTACTGGCAATTTTAGATTTCTATATTAAAGGGAGATGCAGGACATTGTGCAGCGCGCTTTAAATCTTTTGTAAATTAAGAAAGAATGCGTACCACACCGTCCATATCGCATGGGACTCATCACAGATGATCCGTCATGACTCAGACTAGTAATATTACTAGTCTGAGGTCTTGAAAACCACCGCATTTTAAAATTGATAGTATGTGCTTCAGCTTTGCTACTCTGTCTGCACAGTGATACTCAAATAAAATCATCTAAATGTTATTGAAACAAACATTCTTGATTTTTTTATTCATTCGGAAAGAAAACACCGGTTTTCTGCACCAAATAAAAATGTTTATCCGAACTAAAAAGATTGAAGATATGTGTAAATTTTATCTTAATTACTAAGGAATGCTAGCGGTCGGCCGGGAATAGCTGACATACACATGCGCACATCAGTGCGTGAGTGTTTAATTTTAATTATCATACCTGAGTGTGGGAGGTCCCAATCTGACTCAGTTTTGTATAGTATTGGCTCTGAAGCGGCTGACTGTGTTTGAAGTCTTAAAAGAAGAAAAATGTGGACATGTTGCTATAGGTAAAATATTACAATCAGTCTGAATACTAAAATTTTTGAAGATGTACTTTTGATAATATCTACTAGAAAACATTCATTTATGCATTTATTCCATCGATATCATCACAGGTTATATTGAACTTTGAGTGTCACGAATAGTTGTTACATGATCCGATTTTTCATGTGTTCTAAATGTCATACTGGTACTAAACAGTATATTTCAAGTTTAGCCCGACGTGGATTTAAATCGTTAATATTGACTATTTAACACTTATTCTGCTGGGTCTCATGAATTTTTACATTGACTTGAGATGAGTTTTGATAATCTATATATAATATTATGTAAGTATACTAACATTATTCAACATACGACAATGCGTATTATTGACGACCTGATGAATTAGAGACAACACGAATTGTTGGCTACACGACTGGTCTCACTACGACACTACTCGGGCAGAACGGCTCAAGAAATGTATATTTAGCGACAAAACTACAATAAAACACAGGGATGCCTGGTACAGAAAGCAGACTATGATAAGCATATGGGTGGTAAAGACAGCACAAACAATGAACAAAAGATGTACAATCGATCCCAGCAGTTTTAACCTCAATGTACTATGTAATCAGTCAATTATGCAGTAACAATGAAAGAACTTGATTATGTTTATTAACGCTGTGAAACAAATGCATCTTAATAAGTAGTCAGAAACAACCATATATTCATATCGCTTTATAATTTGCATTTGAATACAACTAGGGTGATTTACAATTTTCATATAAACACAACTGTAGCCGTTTACAATCTGTATATGAATACAACCATACGTTTATACAATCTCAACATGAATACAACTAATGCATTGTTCGCTCTGTATATGAACACAGGTAGAGTAATTGACAGACAGACAGACAGACAGACAGACAGACAACCAGACAGACAGACAGACAGCGCATCTGATGACGGAATACATTATAGAATATAGAGAAAGGAAGAGAGTAATGGATGTACATCAATTTAAAAAAAACAAAACAGGACGGACTACAGATTCCTGCTTTGATCTCAGTGGAACCGACCAAAACGATATGATGTGGTGGCCGTTTATTTTTATTGTTACAACTTACATGAATTATACAAATGGCAGTTTAACTCAGTAACACGTTGCGCACTACGTCATGTGCAGGACGACGGTGTCGATTGTAATCCCGCATGTCAGTGCACAAGATGTCACATAATCCGTGTATTAAAAGTGTAGGGGGAGATTGGAAATATCAATATCTGTATCACTCACTGGTAATGCACACATTGTCATTGAGACATTGGCAAAATTAAAACTGTTAGCGTTAGCATTGTTCCCAAGAATGGATCAATAATTTTTTTCAATGGTGGCAAGACTTTCTGTTTGGATATTTATCATATAAGTACAGATATTGAAATATGTATGGTCTTTAATTTTTTGTATTTATATTTTTTCGCGAAAGCTTTCGTGCAGAGCCTTCGTCCCCAGCCTCTTCATTTCCAACGAGTCTCCTCTTCGAGCGCAGTCACATACTACGTCATGAATAATATTACCTATAATAACCTGATGTGAAAATATTAAACATCCAATGTGCGGGAACTGACAACTCAAAGATATCGGAGCAGAAAGTATAAAACATAGATTTAATAAAGTTGCAGCATGTTCAAAATTACTTACTCGGTTTATAATCATGGATTAAAACGGCGGCTGGCACGGTGAACGTAGCTGCATTTAATTGTGACCCATCTTATTTACATATAATTATATCAACTCAACGAAAACGGGTGCAACTAGTCGTATATCTATAGTCAATTTCATTTTATTCCAAGCATACCTTCGTTCTAGCCACACAACTACATGGATACAACACTTAGTGACCTGCCATTGTTATGACTATGGGAGTCTGGTATATATCGTAAGTATTTCAGCGATTTTTGTCATGAAACATACTAATCCCAATGTATTAGCAGAGTAATTTTTCATGTTTTTTTTCCCTTCCTACCAATATAACATTAAAGCATCAGTTGATAAAACATATTCTTGGCAATGTTAACCAGCTTTAAAACTGGGCTATGTAACGGTAGGTAGGGGATGGATTAAATACTTGTATCGGTTCTGCTGTCTTATGATTATAACGTACACACTCAGAAAACACTCGGACGAAGAGAATGACAGAAGCTGTGACTTATGTATTTGACCGCTAAAGTATCCGTATAGCGTACACAGACTGATAACGCCTTACTAAATCACCCATACCACATTGTGAAATAAACACTGCCCTTAAATAATATAGCATAACTTAAATACTGCATAGTTGAGGTAACTGGCTGCACACTTAACTCTTTACTTTTCGCATTGTATTTTATTCATATAACCTACCCCATTATATATATATTATAACAAACGCACATTGTTTTTTTTATTTTATAAGCTAATACGCAAGGGTCGTTATATTTTTTCCGTGTGATTAGTTTCAAGTTCAATGTATTCAGGTGAAATAATTTATAATCATAATCATGTACTAGTATATATGTCTCAAAATTTATTTATTTATTTATTTATTTATTTATTTATTTATTTATTTATTTATTTGTTTGTTTGTTTGTTTGTTTGTTTGTTTGTTTGTTTGTTTGTTTGTTTGTTTATTTATTTATTTATTTATTTATTTATTTATTTATTTATTTATTTATTTATTTTCCTTGCTTCTGTCTGTCCGACCGTCTGTTCGTTCATTTCGCTGTTTCATTTTTTCGTGTGTTTAATTGTTTCTTTCGAGTGTTTTACAATACATTACCTTTATTTACACAATAATTAAGGCAGGCTAGGGACATTTCACATCGATATAATTTTTTAAGAAAAATGTTAAGGAAATAGGGGAACGGTGTAATCAGCGTTTACAGTGCCTTTCCATAGTATTCACGCATGGAGTGGGAAAGGCATGATTCACATAAATGTCAAAGCAGTCTCAAATTTGTAACATGTTCAGTATTAAATTTAGAGCGTGAAAGCCAATTAAAAAAATCATTAATTAAACTCGAATGAAATACCCTAATGAGAACGCCTCGCAAACAGACAAGAGACGAAATATGCACAGATCACGAGATACTGTAACATTTGCATTAAAAGTGTATTAAAAACTGTACCTTTCAATTCAGCCTATTTACTGGAAGATGTGGATATTTTCCGCTCTGTTTCGCATACATTTGTAACGCGAATTTACTGTGAGTAACAGTATTGAATACATTAATACAAAAATAAACGCAGTTTTTCTTCGAATAACTGGGGTTAACATTTATCTTGCCTTTATACGAAGAATAGAATGAACACTTGTATAAGAAATGGACGTAAGTCAACTTAAAATGTAGAAAAACTATGCAATATTTCATCCGTGGCGAGAACATGCATGCAACGAATTGCTGGAATTCATGCGGAATGTATGCACACAATTAAAACTTTAACAATTTAATAGCCTATTTAAAACGTTGTACTGCGACTCACTGAGAACAAAATGCATACATGTATTATTTGTAACCTTAATTCCAAGCTGTTACAGTAGCTAGACTGAAAACAAAATTGTAATATCACTAAATGAGCAACGATTCGCGAGAGGATACAATTCCAATTACTATATGTAAAACATCCTATCGCTAAGCAGAGGAATGTTACCTCATAAAATTAAATATTAAGCAATGTATATTTAGCGACAAAACTAGAATAAAACACAGTGATGCTTGGTACAGAAAGCAGACTATGATAAACATATGGGTGGTAAAGACAGCAAAAACAGTGAACAAAAGATGTTCAATCGGTCCCATCAGTTTTAACCTCCATGTACTATGTAATCAGTCAATTCATTTATATGCAGTAACAATGAAAGAATAACTTGATTATGTTAATTAACGCTGTGAAACAAATGCATTTTAATAAGTAGTCAGAAACAACCATATATTCATATCGCTTTATAATTTGCATTTGAATACAACTGGGGTGATTTACAATCTTCATATAAATACAACTGTAGCCGTTTACAGTCTATATATGAATACAACCATACGTTTATACAATCTCCACATGAATACAACTAATGAATTGTTCGCTGTGTATATAAACACAGGTAGAGTAATTGACAGAGAGACAGAGAGACATTTATTTATTTATTTATTTATTTATTTATTTATTTATTTATTTATTTATTTATTTATTTATTTATTAATTAATTAATTATATTAATTAATTAATTAATTAATTTATTTATTTATTTATTTATTTATTTATTTTCCTTGCTTCTGTCCGTCCGTCTGTTCGTTCATTTCGTTGTTTCATTTTTCGTGTGTTTAATTGTTTCTTTCGAGTGTTTTACAATACATTACCTTTATTTACACAATAATTAAGGCAGGCAAGGGACATTTCACATCGATATAATTTTTTATGAAAAATGTTAAGGAAATAGGGGAACGGTGTAATCAGCGTTTACAGTGCCTTTCCATAGTATTCACGCATGGTGTGGGAGAGGCGTGATTCACATAAATGTCAAATTTGTAACATATTCAGTATTAAATTTCGAGCGTGAAAGCCAATTAAAAAAACATTAATTAAACTCGAATGAAATACCCTAATGAAAACGCCGCGCAAACAGACAAGAGACGAAATATGCACAGATCACGAGAAAGTGTATTAAAAACTGTACTTTTCAATTCAGCCTATTTACAGGGAGATGTGGATATTTTCCGCTCTGTTTCGCATACATTTGTAACGCGATTTTACTGTGAGTACCAGTATTGAATACACTAATAAAAAATAAACGAATGCATGCAACGCAACGAATTGCTGGAATTCATGCGGAATGTATGCACACAATTAAAACTTTAACAATGTAATAGCCTATTTAAAACGTTGTACTGCGACTCACTGAGAACAAAATGCATACATATATTATTTGGAACCTTAATTCCAAGTTGTTACAGTAGCTAGACTGAAAACAACATTGTAATATCACTAAATTAGCAACGATTCGCGAGAGAATACAATTCCAAATACTATATTTAAAACATCCTATCGCTCAGCAGAGGAATGTTACCTTATAAATTTTACATAAAACGACTGTAGCGCTATAAGACTTTAAGACCGAAGATCAATAATTTGAATAAAGTAATTTACATACTAGAGTGACCACAATGAATGGTGTAATATAAAGAACGCATTTTTCAAAAAAAATCGGATTATGAAACATTATATTGTGTACGTTTTCTTTATCTTTGGTCCAAAGTTGCTGTGCGCGATGCATTTGGTGCGTAATTTCAGTTTATTCTCATAAATCTAGTTGTGGGGGTAAACACGTCCTCTATGCATTTACATATCATATTGAGTGGCAGACTGAAGACAAAGGATTCAATTTGCATACTAATTTGTTGACCATCCGGCTTTATTATATCCTGTGTAATCTATAAATAGTGAAGCTTTGTAACGTCTCGGTTTGTACATGTTGGTCTGTCCAACAGTCAAAGTCGCCATCTTTGTTTTTATTGAGACCCATATATCTCGCGCATGCGAGGCGCGACGACTACCGCCCTTTAATATTATGTTGCACTTACACGCCCAATGTTATGCAAAATGACGTTGCAAGATGTTAATTATATAGTTTAAATCGTACACTGTACACTGTCATGATTCTGAATGAATGAATGAATGAATGAATGAATGAATGAATGAATGAATGAATG